TGGGATGGATAATGACTTTCATCACTATGGCTTAGCTTCCCCAATATATACACATTTCACTTCTCCCATCAGAAGGTATTGTTTTTTTTCTGTACAGAAGTAAAGGAGATAGAAAATGGTAACTCTTATTTAAAAATTTAAAACTAACTTGCCATTGTTCTCATTTTACCTTCTGTATGTAGATATGCAGACATAATTGTTCATCGGCTTTTGGCTGTGGCTATTGGAGCTGATAGTACTTATCCGGAGTTGACAGATAAACACAAGCTTTCAGATATATGTAAAAACCTCAATTTCCGGCACAAAATGGCTCAGTATGCTCAGCGAGCATCAGTAGCTTTTCATACCCAGGTATTTGCCTTTTGTCTGTAGTGCTAAGAGTGGGAGATTTTGTTATCTGGTGTTTTCAAAATCATTTTTGTAAATTTCAAAATAATGCTTCTAACAAGAATGTATGTATTTTACAGCTGTTTTTCAAAAGCAAAGGAATAGTAAGCGAAGAAGCCTATATTCTCTTTGTAAGAAAGAATGCAATTGTGGTGTTAATTCCAAAGTATGGCTTAGAAGGTACAGTGTTTTTTGAAGAAAAAGATAAACCAAAGCCACAGCTTACTTATGATGATGAGGTATAGTATTGCTGATCCTTGTTTTCTTGGGGAAGAGAGGCATATTTTCTCTGATAGTTGGCAAATCATAGCAATAAATTATTAAAACTTACCTGTATTTATGTAGGTGGAGTTTCTCTGTGTCTTAGGAGCTGCTCCCAAATAACCACTCTGATATTTCTATTAATTTTAAATGCTTGGCTGAAAGCTTAGGCTAACCAGCACTTACAACTTAACCCCTATTTCTGATCTAAGTTCTGCCACCTGGCTCATGGCTTGTTACCTCACTTTCTACGGGTCCTGTTTCTTCTGCCTGTGGCTGGTGACTCCTCCAACTCCTCCCTCCTCCTCCTCAGTGTCCTTAGTCTGGTTTTTCCATCTAACCTTATCCTGTCCAGCTAATTGGCCAACCAATTGCAGCATAATTTACACAGTGTACAAAGGATCATTCTACAGCAAATTTATATGATAAATGTCAAAATACATGTCAGAAAATCCCTATTTATCACCTAAACTTTTCTTAAGAGAATATTTAAATGTTATGCTGTGGATGACATATATCAGGACTTCCTTGGTGACATGATGAAGTGTGCGCATAATGGACTATATTTGAGACTGTGCTTACTATTATTGTAGATTTTCTAATTCTTTGAAAATTTCATACATGAGTAAAATATATCTTGATCCAGTGTACCCCTCCCCTCTTCCCTCTGACTATCTACAGAATTCACCACATCTCCTCCCACTTTCTTATCCTCCTTAACTGGGGAATAGTTAAAATTGAAACTTTTAAATTACTGTGGAAGGTAAACTAGAAGTAAATTGAGATTCAAATTTAGGAAATAATACTGATAAATGTTTGTTTTTTTCAAGATACCTTCACTCAGAATAGAAGGTACAGTGTTCCATGTATTTGATAAGGTTAAAGTGAAAATTACATTAGATTCATCAAACCTTCAACATCAGAAAATCCGTATGGCCCTTGTAGAACCACAGGTAAGACCAATTTAATTTAACGGTGTGGGAAATCTAACATCTAGTTGTTTTTTTTTTGTTTGTTTGTTTGTTTTGGTTTTTCGAGACAGGGTTTCTCTGTGTAGTTTTGGAGGCTGTCCTGGCACTCGCTCTGTAGACCAGGCTGGCCTCGAACTCACAGAGATCCGCCTGCCTCTGCCTCCTGAGTGCTGGGATTAAAGGCGTGCGCCACCAACGCCCGGCTAACATCTAGTTGTTAAGATCTTAGGTAGCCAAGTATTGGCATTGGATTCCAGGCATCAGATTTTAGAGGTCCTTAATGTCAGAGGCTAAGACCATTCCGTTCTCTTGCTTATCCTTCACTCTAGCCTCCTAGAACACAAGTACAGGTGCCCAACCTACACTTAACCTCTTGCCTTTTGTTACTTGCTGTCTGCTGCAACATAAATCCACTAGGGTAAATTGGACACAAGGAAGAGTTGTGTATGGTGCAGCCTTCCATCTCCAGCCCCTTATGGAAAATCTGTTTAAAGTGGTAGTGGTAAAGGGGGAAGGTGAGGTAAAAATTTCTTCTCTGATGCTTCTAACCACTTTATTGTTCCCATCTACACTGTTGTTATAGATACCCGGAATAAATACTCCCCCAGAAGTTTCAGGCATGGATCTCAACGGGCCAGGGGTGAAGAAGAGAAAACTTGACAAGTAGCTACATGCCACAGGAAACTTCAAAGACTGATTACCTTCGACGACAACAACAAAATTGAAAGCATACATACAAGCTCATGTGCATGATAGTTACTTTTAAGGACATTTCAATAATTTTAAGAAATTTGCATTTTTATTGAGTTGCTGCCTGCATCTATCTTATACTGTGCTTCTGCAACAACAAAAATTATGCAGAAAAATTCATTTGAATATCCATCACTTAAATGGTGACAGAATAGCAACTTCAGGGATGTGTGATGATCATTTAAATGGAGTGCTCATCTGCTCATGGAAGAGCAGATTAATTTTTACATAAGTACTTTATTTAACATAGGAAAAAACTTTTCTGAGGAAAATTAACCTTTTAGAAGCAAAGAACAAGCCTTTCTAAATCTTGAGCTGTCAGTGTTTGTCATTTGATCATTTTACCATTTATTTGCCTACATTGTTCACATATATTTTGAAAAGCCTCCTTTGTACTTTATTAGGTCCTCAGACAACTGTGAATGTTTCAGAATTTTGAGAAAACAAAAACTAAGGACCTGATGGAGAACTTTGTGAATTGCGTTATTAACAGATGATAAATTTAATCATCATTATTCTTTATCTTTGTTGACAGTGTTTCTCAAAAAGGTGGCATTACAGCTCAGGAAGAATAGAAGTGAAAATGTCTGCTTTCTTACAAAAAACATAACTTTTGAATTTTAGTTATATCCAGTTATATAGGAGAGGAGGAGGGAGTGTATTAAAGACATATTAAAAGGAACAAATGAAGTCTTATTTGGTGGTACCAGATTGAATACTTGTCTTACAAATTCCAGATTAATGATTACATTAGGAAAATCAACATTTAACTTTGTTTAGTTTCCAGTGCAGTAAACTACTTCTGTATGGTAGACACCAGCTGACAAGTCCCCATGTATATGATGTGGTTGCAGCTATAGGCTTTACAAACACATGGACATTCAGTATTGTCAATTTTTCCATATATGTTAAAGCAGAACTTGATTGAGCTGAAGGAAGACAGGCTTAAAGAGTGTTTGGTCCAAATAAAATGGATCAGTGACTGATAGTAGAGCAGGACACAGCAAGCCTTGTTTGTAAAAGGCCATAGCATTTCAGACTGTTGGCTGAACTATAGCACAACTCTGCTAGAATTGTAGTTTATAAGCAGCTGAACAATATAAACAGGTATGGTTATGTTCTTGAAAACAAGCTTCCATTCTGTGTATATGAGATATTACTCTTGATCTCAAAATGTTTTTGTTATTGAGTTGGGCATGTAGTTCACTGGTATGATTGTCTAGTGTGTACATGGCCTTGGATTTGATCAGACTATTGCAAAACACAATGCTCTGGAAAGATGACTCAGCAGTTAAGTCTGGAAAAGCAGATGACCTGCGTTTGATTCTCAGTGCCCACATGATGGCTCTTAGGTATCTGTAACTCCAGTTTCGGGATCCAATACTACTCCTGGCCTCCAGCACTCAGTAGTATACAAACATGAATACAGGAAAGAACCAAGTTAAATATGTTAATAATTTATTTGCCAAATTTACCTGCAGTAGAGGAAAATAGTTGTCTTGGTAGTAGAAAGCCAGTAAGTTATGTCTGTTATCTCTGTGTGTGTGCACATGCATGTTCTTACCTATGGGTACTTGTTAAGACCAGAATTGGAAATTGGATGTCTTCCTCAGTTGTTTCTCAGTGGGATCTTTTACCCAACTTGAGGAGCTTGTCCCTTTGAGCTACGCTGGCTATCATCAGCCAGTTTCCACCCCCAGTCTAGGGTCACAGCCATATGCTGCCATGCTTAGCTCTCATGTAAGTTAGGGTTTCATGCGTATACAGCAAGCACTTTACCCATGGAGCAGCCCCCATGTCTGTTACCATTCTAATGGCCAGAGTGATTTTAGTAAGTACAAGCTTTAATCTCAATTGAGCGAATTATGATTGAAAAGTTGTATTTCCTAAGGCCTCTTTCAGGTGTTAAAGTGCTTTCTCTAGTGCCAGTTATGAAGCTAAGCAGATAATAGAGAACATGGTCAGCCTCCCAGTGCCCAGCTTTGCATCTCCAGATTGAAAGGATGAAAGTACTTGTGGGAAAAATGCATCTGTGCTAAATGTGTTTAGACACTTTCTAACTGGTCAATATTCCCCCGGAATATTTAACTGTTTTCATTGTATTTACATTGTAGTAGATATAATTTATAAGTAATTTGAGAGAATTTGAAGTATATGAAAAATGTGCATACCTTACATGCAAAGGTTATATCATTTAATGAGGGACATTAGCATCTTTTGTTTTTAAATCCATGGAAGGTCCTAGAGCTAGTTCCCCTGGGCTACTGAGGATGACTGGATTGCAGATGAAACTCTGAAAACAGCACACCTTTGATCCTCACGAGTTCTAGAGACTGAAAGCTCAGTGCCAGTCTAAACTACATTGTGAAACTGTCTCAAAACAAACTGAAGGAGCCCCTTCTGGATTCTACTTCCATTTAATAGACGAAGCCCATTCAAGTAGTTCTTTTAGTTCATAATTATTTAAAAATTGGAAGGTAGCCAGGGAGGCTACTCATCTTAAGATTAAATTGGCCAGTCAACTTCACAACTTTGGTCAGTGTTGGAGCAGGCAAAGACACGAGCGTTGTGTTTGTGTGTGTAACCAATAAGCATAAAAGGATGGAGGACCATACAGAACAAGGATGAAAATGACATGATAATTACATCTTTATTTTCTAGGACTAATGACGAATCGTTTTGAGTATATCAGTTTTTACAAAATAAGTAAATACAAAAATACAGTCTTTGATATTTCCAAACACATTATACAGATTTTAAAAAATGTATTTAGCTTATTTTCCCAATTGTTTCTTCATGGTTCTAAGCCAAAAAGGAGTTAATTCCACTGTTTCCTGATGATTCTGGTTCTCCCATGCTCTGTCCATCCCCCTAGCCACGACTGCGCTGACGGACGCCCTAGGATTGGTAGTACTGCACTGTGGCGTCATACACTCACCCCACGGATGGCAGTTTGCAGTCGGTGCCCAGCCAGCACACTGCTAGCATTTACACTCGCCAGAGTATTAGCTAGAGGGTTAGACCAAAAACTAAGTCATTTCCCCACTGAAATGAAGTTTTAGGGAGTCCATTTTGTTTCCTTTTTACCTCTTCAGTAAGTTTTATATTTGAAGATTTCTGTCACACAGTTTTCATGTAAAAATACATAGTGCATTCGGTTTTAACATTTTTATCATGTTCTAAGATTTGCTTAATTCAGGACTATCATTCAAAGTCTTAACAAGTGGTTCAGTGACCCTGTAGGACAGGAGAAAACTATCAGCTGTCATAATTTTTTGTTAAACAAACCACTCAAAGCAAATACAAAAATATTTATTGGTTAAAAAATAAGCTTGTAACTTAGTAACATGGAGCTTCTGATCCTGTCACTAATGTCCTTTGCGGACTGAGTTTTCACATTATGGAGGGAGCTAGCTGTAATGAAGCCGTTGCCCCAGTCACCATCATGGTAAGCCATGTGTATGAAAACACCCAGGGCTACTGAGCGGTGATCTTTGGTCCTGGGACTCTATGGGCTGTTGCACTGAGATGCAATCGCAGTTTTCATCCAGCACTTCTGCACTGTGTGGTCTTGCTGTGAGAAAGAAGAAAATACCTTTTCAGTTTAGGACCATTCAAAAGCACAACTATTATGTGAACTATTTTAAAATCTAAATTTGAAAGGGCTACTAAAGATAAAGGTTTTTTGGTGAGGTGTTCTTTGGTTTTATGTTTCTATTTTATTTATTTTGGGTAGCACTAGGTGGGTATCCTAGTAGTCACGTGTCCTACTGAGCAATAGCCGTAGCTCAGACGATAATATTTAATATCCTGCTTCAAAAGAAGCCTTTTTTTAGCTTGGAATTATGATATTACATATAATAAGGGAAAACATGGTAGATTTTTTTATTGAACTTGGAGAGAGGTATTGTTGCAGTTAATGTTTATACTGTATAATAGTAAACTTGTAAGAGACTGTCCTGTCTAGAGTCTAAGATGACGGGTTTCAAATGTAAATGTGTAACCGTCATATCAAGGTTCATAAAATGTGTATACTATATTAGTACAAATATTTGACATCAGAAATATATACATTTATTTTCCTTAGAACAATGAAAATCTTTAATGGCCATTAAATTTTAAGAAATCCTTCCAGAAAGAATAGGAGAGGATTAATACTTTCCAAGTGCATGATAAACATCCAACAGTGATAATACTAAGACCATTATTTTATTACACATACACAAACTATTTCAAGTGCTTTGAAGTTGATATGTAATCAGTTGTACTATTTTCCTCTCTAATAGTAACTGTTTGAGCTGTTTGAAATGTTTCAAAGACAGAAAAATCAATTTTAGAGGCAAAAGTTCCTGCCTTTCCTGTTTCCATTTATGGATATAACTTCCCCTGTTTAGAGAAGAGCTAGTTCTCCCTCTCCAACTCATTCTCTCCTATGGGAGAGTGAGGAACTCCGGCATGTCGGGTTTTTAGAACATCTACTTAATAACAGGACAAGATGGGAGGGTAAGCATGGTAAAGTATACAGAATGGTAAGAAGATAGGTTGAGAAAGTCATTTAGTAAATACTACAGTCTATATTCCTGTCAAGCTCTTTTCTCCATACCTTTATATTACAGACTTGAGATTTCATTTCCACCTCAAAGGACTGTGTGACACTTTCTCTGCAGTAGCTCTCTGTCCCAGCAATATCAGTGATATTGCTTCCACAAGTCTGCGTGTTGTAGCCACTGTCCATCTGGTAGGAATGAAACACAAAACACCTAATCATAAAAACCGCAATTTACATGAAATGTGAGAAACGTAAAGGCTAAGTGAGCATATAGTATAATTCACTATATCTGAACAATGTAATAGTGGTCATAATGAATAAATTTAATATGTAATCATAAAAGCACTATACAAAATTGCTTCTCACTGTAATACTTTATAAAATATATGATATGGGAAGGAACTGTATTTCCTTTAGCATCAGTAGACAAGTCACCAAGTGCTTTTCTGCTCATCTGAAATTATGTCCAAAATGAAAATGAAGACTAAAATGGGTTTTCTTATCTCAAAATTGCTCGTAGTTTCTAAATACCATTTGGAGTATTCAGTAATAATACAAAAATAAAGGTAGCCTGCATATTGCTCATAGCCGGTTCATAATGGCACATATATAAGAAAAATTGGTACATTTTAAAACATACTGGCTTGCCACAAAAGAGAAAAAGATTTGCACACTTTTAAATTGGTAGATAATCCCCTCTTATCATGGAGGATATCTCCCAAGACAGCTAATGCCAAACAGTATGTCTACTATGTTTGGACTACCTACGAATACCTGTGATAGGCTTTAGCTTACAAGTTAGGCACAGTAAAAGTTTCACTTGGCTTTGTAATACTGGCTAACACAGTTTGGCTTCAAATTCACAATTGTGCCTCAGACTGAAGAGTGTTGGGATTAAATTGTAGGCATGTGCCACTATGCCCAATTTATACATTTTTTTTTTTTTTTTTTTTTTTTTTAGTTTTTCGAGACAGGGTTTCTCTGTATTGTCTTGGTGGCTGTCCTGGAACTCGCTTGGTAGACCAGGCTGGCCTCGAACTCACAGAGGTCCGCCTGCCTCTACCTCCCGAGTGCTGGGATTAAAGGCGTGCACCACCAACGCCCAGCTCAATTTATACATGTTTATAAAAGTTATACAATATAGTGTCAAAAATTTTACAGTACTTTTGCACTTTTAAGAACTCTAGCTTTTTACATATACAAATGGCCAGAATTATGTTAGTGCTTTTAGTCACTATTAAGTTTTTAAAAGCTCTTTGAATATAAGTAACATGTTAGCTTAATGGTCAGTTTGAAATGGCTGCTCTGTGAAGAACAGGTAAGTAGTATAAACTGTGGTAACATTAGTCCAAGGGTTGTTTGACATTCCGGTGAGGAACAGTTCAAGATACCATGATGCTCAAAATAGCATGGATTTTGAAGCAAACTATTTTTTAAATGTAAACTATTTTGGACCACAGATATGTGCTGTAAAAAGCATTTACTGAATAAAAATGCTTGGTCCTTCGTGGCATTTTTATTTTGTCCTTTCAACATCTCTGTCACTTTATAAGTGAGGAAGTGAAGGTTCAGAAAGGTTAACTCAGTGTCATACAGCCATGAGACGAAAATCAGAGGCTCAAGTTAAAGTTCTTTTAATTTTACAAGAGCCATTTATTTGCAATAATACTGAGTCCCAACACACACACACACACACGCATGCACGCACGCACACACCACACGCACACACCACACACACACACACACACACACACATGAAGCACTGGCCTAGTCCTTTACCTTTCCTTACAAATTAAGAGCATGACAATTGCCCCCATGACAAACATCTAGAGTAGTATATAAAGCCATACTGTTACTCATGATCAAAATAAAAATATTCCTAGTTTTCATGTCTGCATACCCATTTGCTGGTTACTGGGAGTCACACATCATTAAAGCAAAACCCTTATGACAAGTAAAATAAAATTCAACAGTACATCCCAAGGGAAATCCCTAGTTCTGCTGCCACTCAATAGATATTTGATAAAAAGTGTAAATATCAGATTGCTTATAAAGAGTCTGCCAATTACTCTTCCTTCTGATGTCACTGTCAAATAACTGGCTCATGACTCAGTTCTAATACATAACTGTATGAAGGTAAAAGTAACCCAACAGTATAGGAGAGAGCAATGTTCACAGGGAGCCCATCCTATTTTATAGTAAGGATTAACAGCCCCGCACCCACATAATACAGTTCAGCCTTATGAAATTGGAGTTTCATTGTGTACCAGGAAAAGATCCCACTAAGCAAGAAGGGTGAGCAGCAATGTTTAGTCAACGAAGTAAGAACTTTCAATTCTAAAGGGCAATTATGTCTAAGCTGAAACGGTTGTCACATCACCACGCACACACGTCTTGAAAAAACACACTCTTCCTTAGAAATCCACCAGAAAATGTGTTCCAGGAAAAATGAGAAGTAACCCAGAAAGGAACACAGAAAACAGGTGGGGTAAGGAGATTCACAGGGTGAGAACAAAGAGTGTGGGTGACACTCTACACTATGGTTCATAGAAGCCAATGAACTAAGTCAAAAGGCTAGGAGAAAGCAGTTGTGTCTGAATGCTTGAAAGACAACTGGTAGAAAAATAATGGTTACAAACTTAGCAAACTAGAAGACAATCTCTGCAAAGAGGAAGCATGATACAGCATAAAGGATCAAACAGACCTACATTTTAGTTCAATGCAAGGAGGAAAAGTATGACAGTCATGGAAAGGAAGTGCAATACCCATGCAGAAATGAGGTGATGAGTTGGTGACTACTCATGAGCCTCCAACTTGCTACAGGGAAAGGGAAAGTGAATGAAAAAAAGTTAACAATTCCTTTACAGCTAAACCTGACTAGTGTGCTTAGGAAGCTAAAATATGTAACTAAAAGAAATTGTAACATTTTCTAGCACTAAGAATGCAGGAGCCATGAGAGGTGTTACAGACATAAAAATCAGCAAATATGTCTGAAGATGCTATGATGAAACCAATTACTTTGTAAGGTAACCTAAACAATTAAACGGTTTAAAAATGAGCGAAAGTTACAGTCCATTTTCAGTTATCAGCAGCATGGCCAGAGTCGACCAGAAAACATGAGGGGGAGACTTGCGTGAGCCTGTCAGCGCACCAGCCAGCAGACTTAGCTGGTTCTGAGCTGGCAGACTCGGGTTGGAGGACATGGACCTGGGATGCAAAGCTGCTGGTGTCAACACTGGCTCTGCTCGTTACTTGCTTTATAAACTTCAGGGCGTTAACTTAGCCTCTGATGCACAGCTTTCTTAGAAAACTGGAAATACATGATTGCATGCAAAAATTTTCACTCTCAAGTATATGAGAAGTTACAGATAAAAGTGCTCTTCCTCCCCGAAACCACATTAAACAGAAACAGAACTATTCAATTTTTAAAATACAAACACTACGCCTGCAACTGCATTCTCCTGGCAGCAGATGCCCAGGAGGCAGGTGTCTCCTGAGAGGTTGCCTGACCAGCAATCTGCAGAGACACCAGCCTGGTTTCTTCTCTGCTCTTTTACTATTCCCAGCAGACAATGGTTAGCAGGAATATGAAATATGAGTGATTAATCCTCCTGCTTTCATTTGGTAATTTTACTTTTTTTTTAAAGGCAGGTTTATACTACAGAGTCCTAGCTGGCCTGGAACTGGCTCTGTAGAGAAGGCTGGCCTTGAAATTACAACAATCTGTGTGTCTCTGCCTCCCAAGTGTTAGGCTTAATGGTGTACGCCATCATGCTCAGCACCCTTGGTAATTTTAAAATACCAAATGCTACAGCCCTCACAGTCTTTTATCGTTCTAACACTGTAAACACCTCACAGTTAACCTATTTACCTTTCTCACTCTGTACCACCCGCAGTCAAAGACTATAAAATATTTAAAAGCCTTACCTGGATAGTACTGTTTTCACAGGGAAGAATACTGCTTTCTGCAAGAGGTGACATGCACATATGAGAGTTTTCAATACTGAAGGCAATCCCACTCACAAAATCGGTCATGGGTAAATTCCCATTATCCACTGGCTCCTTTATCCAAGTGCTCTCATCTACTGTGTCTATAGGATCGAACATATCCACAGTGTCATTTTCCCTCTTGCTTTCAACATCCTCCAACAGCGCCAGCTCTTTCTCAGAGGCACTGGACTGACTCTGTGTGACAGACATGGCCGTGACAACTAAAGACTCGCCACATGGCGAAGTCTCACAGTCCAGCTGCTGAAGGGATACCGCTGCATTTGTGCCTGGTGGAGAGACAGCTGCGGAGGGAACGTGGTCGTCTTCATCTTCACCTGGAGTCTCAAGGGTAAAAGGGATCCGAATCAGTGAGGACAAGTACTGAGGACCGCCTCTGAGTCTCCCAGGAGACCAGTTTCGAATCGGTGAGCAGCCATCTATGTAGGGACTCCTGATGCTTGGATTAGTGATCCCAGTAGAACTTGTTCCATATGGAGATTCAGGAGAATGGAATGTAAACTTCCTCTGTTCTGAAGGAATGGAGGGAAAAACACATCATAAAACACAAAAACAGAAAAGTCATTTTTCAACGGTAATCATGTTCATGTCAGAAAAAAAAGGATTCCTGTAACAGTTATGTATACACTAAAGTGACATTTTAGTGTTAAACAACAGCAAAAGGCAGTGTGTGCCTCAACAGACTCAGCCTCAAAACCTGTTTCTGTGGCTCTTTCCAAATTCGATTTAAAATACTGTATTTCTTATGAACTATTTCTTCATTCTATTATATTTTATATGCTTTCTTTTTTTGTTGTTTAATTTTTAGGGTATTGTATTTACATAACTCTTTCCTTCCCATTCCTTCTTGCAAACATTCCTAAGTTGCCTCCTCCACTATTTCATTCAAATTCACGGCTACTATTTCTTTGTGTTACATTCATGTGTGTTCCTAAATATGTAAGTACAACCTGCTCGGCAGGTCTGTTACATATATATATATATATATATATATACACACACACACACACACACACACACACACACACACACACATATATTTATACTTTTTTGAGGCTCACCACATTAGCATGTCTACTGGTACTGTCCTTGTTCAGGTCATGTTTAGGCAGCCATGATGGTGACACTTCATGGATGCAGCTTCTAACATTTCTAAGAGACACAATCTCACAGCACGGCCAATTCCCTGCTCCTTGGCCACCTTTTTTGTTTTTGCTTTGTTTTGAGATGGGGGTCTCTGTTTTATTGCTGGGAAGAAACACCATGACCACTGCAACTCTTGGAGAAAACATTTAACTGGGGCTTGCTTAGAGTTTCGGGGGGTCACCGTCATCATGGTGGCATGTGTGATGCTGGAGCGGCCGAGTCACATCCTGATGGGCAGGCCCAGGAAAAAAAGAAAGGCTTTTGCAAGCCTCCATCAAGACCACAACTCCTAGCCCTTCTAATCCTTTCCAAGGCTGTTCCATTCAAACTACCACAGCCTTACTTGGTAGCTCAGGTTAGCTATGAATCTACATATTCCCAGAGTGGCCCTGAATTTATGATCCTTCTGCCTCTGCCTCCCAAGTATTAGAATTTATAGTATAAGTTACACATTTGACTTACACTGTTCCTTATGATGAAAAAAAAGTTTCTACAAATTAATACCAAAGTATTCACTCCTAACTGCTAAGAGCCTTTTTTAACAATAAGTGTGGACAGTACAAATTTTAACTGTGTATGTAATTCTGACATACCTGAGAGTGGTGTCTTCCCTACTTGAAGTGCAATGGGTGAGAAAGTGGGTAAAGACATAGCCGGTGGGCTAGTTATGCTTCCTAAACTGTATTTTCTTGCACTATTTTGAATGGGGCTAGAAGAAAACTGTCCCTGTGATAAAAATAATAATCATAAATTAGAAAATAACATCATGTCAATAATCAGCAAATACATTTAATTGCTCTTTGCCATAGTTATATTGTATGTTCTTTGTCCTCTTCACAACATACTTACAAACTAGGGATTCACAAGAACCAACCAGTGAAAGACATCTTAGAACAAAGGCAGCTAAGACTGCTAGAAAAATCTTGAAATAAAATGTCAAAGTATAATGAACTGGGTTTAAACAAATCATTCATTATATTCCATACCAAGTAGCTATCTGTGAAAATATCAATAAATTAATTTATTTACTCCATCAATGCTACCTCAGTTGTTATACTGCTAATCTTCACATAGTTCGGTTAGTAACCTCTGCTATGATTCCTTAGGACAATGATCAATTTGCTCATCCTGTCTACCTTAAATACAAACTGAAGTCTGACTGAAATCCTATCTATGAACACCCAAGGGTGATATTCCTGGGTGTGATTTGAGCATTTACATCCAATCATATCTACAACGCAATAACCAGCCACTTGCTAGCACACTTCTTACAGTACATGCTGCCTACACAGGGTTCCTAGGCTCTATGGAGACAAATCTATTGGATAAAACACCTCAAGAGATTCTCCAGTGCTGCTAGGAGGACTTCCAGGAGAAGCTGAAGGCAAGGAGTCAGAGATGCTCCCATTCACATCCAGAAAGAGCTTCCTTCTTAGAGACGAGGAACTGAGGTTCCCAGGAGATTGGTCCGTCGAGTCATCAGCTCTAAAATAGTCTCCTGCATTGAACAGTAACAGAGAAAACTGATCATTGTAAGAAGTAACTATACTAGTATCACCTAATTATTTAGAAAGTCAAGAAACATGTTAAATATTCTTCTTTATTTTTGGCATGTTTATTTGCTGTTACTGGTGGTGTGAGTCAGTGTCTTACTATGCACCCAGGCTGGACTTGAACTTCTGACAGTCCTTCTGTCTCAACCCCTGACTGCCAGGAGTGTGCCACCACACCTGACTAGTCATCAGTGGTACATCTTTCATGCCCATAGTAACATTCACTATGAGAAAAACACTAACTCAGGCCATGTTCAAGAAACAGAAAAATGTAGGACAGTTTCCTGTTTAAAGAAAGGCACTGCTGCACTGCCATTTACAAACAGCCAAAAAAACCCGAGAGCTTTGGTTTGTTATTAAAGACAGGGTCACAGTATTTACCCAATACGGCTTCCAAATTAAAATCCACGGGAAGAGACAGCAGAGTCTGACAAGCAGCTGGAAATAAGCAAACAGACGTATGTACGCACACATCAGTGAAGGCATGTGATGCTCACTTGAGCATGTGCCAGCCGACCACCACCTCCCAGCATGCTCCAGGAAACAGTACATTCCATACCACCTTCCTGATCGAAACCTGCTAACCATGGCAGAAGTTAGCTCCTGCCTCTGAGATTGGTACTCGGAAGTGAACAGGGTACCAGCAGAAACTAGGGATTTCCCAGATTAGCAAACCATTTGTGTTTTCTTTAAACTTCTCCCAAACTAGCAACCAATTCACAAATCACACACTTCAAATAGGACAGCAGCACAAGGTTGCTGTTTCTAAAGTATCAGTTTTTCAAAGTGAGTTCTCCTGGCATACAGCTCACTCACAAAGCAAACAATGTCTGATTTGAAAGTAAAGCGATACTATGTGAACTATGCTTGAATCAAAGTAGCTTACTATGCAACAAGTCTTTTCCAGACCCTGTACACACCCACCATTGCATTTCTCAGAGGGAAGCATCAGTTTCGGAGAGTCACTGTTGCTATTAAGACCTGTAAAAATTTTTAAATAGAAAGTTGTAATTTTGAATTTAATTAATTTAGGATTACACTGTTCAGAGTAAAATTCTTCACACCAGAGGCTTTTATATTTTAAGAATAAATATCTGCATTTAAAATTTTGCTGTGTTTCTGTTGGATTATTTAATGAGGAAAAATAAGAATAAAACTAAAATATTATCATAGCAAATAATAAGGTACTGTGTAATTACTAGTTTTTGATGACAATAAGAATTAAAGTTCCTAGACATTTACAGTCCAGGTCTCCATGGGTTTGTAATGGCAGACGATATACAGTATGATCTGAGATACCTGGTTTTAATCTAGGCTTTACCACTTTTACAATCTCAGAAACCCTGAGTCAGGGCGCAGACCTTTCTAAAGGTATGCTTTCTCACTTCTAGCAGAGGTAACAATTGCCCCTACCTCCAAGCCACAGGGAATGACTGAAAGCACTGAGTACTGTGCTTGCAGAGACAGCGCCTGTCCCTTTGTAGCTACCATCCCTGTGGATTCATAAGGAGTGTTTTTCTTACACTAAGAACACACCTACACTGCTCAAAACAGAGAGGATGGTGGGAACAAGTAAGACAATCACTGCCCGGTGGGAAAGGGAACTCGGAAGGATTATGGCTTCTCTTTACATTTCTCTATAAATTTACAGATTAGCAGCTGTAATATGATGCCCAAAAGTAATCATCACCCTTCCTCCACCTTTGCAAGGAATAGGCAAATTATCAAAAACCCGAGAGACTTAAGGATTTTATTTAACATACCTTCAAAACTGACTGACAATGGCACTCAGAATTCGACCCTATATTTAAAACCAACTATCTCCCTTACAAAGCCCTATAGGAATCCTTAGAATTAGTACTCACAATGGTCATGAAGAAAAGAATGTTTTCTGAAGAGAATAGCAAAAATAACCAAAGAAAATTCAATCATATTTCAATTAATGTCTGATCTTTCCTCAACAAGGAGTTAATCTTGCCATGTGGAAACTGAATTTAAGCAGGCTCCTCACCAAAACTAGTACATGAACACTTCTCTATGGTGGTCTGCAGCCCTGGCTTTTGGAAACGCATGCTGAATACTCCGTGTTTACTATACCTTGGTGTTTGCACGGTGAGTACTCACATTTACTCGGATGAAGCTCTAAAGCCTGCTTCCCATCATGCTCAGTCCAGGGAGAGGGTACGATGACATCTTTAGTGAAAAACTGGGAAAATTTGAATTGTACAATTAGGCATAAACTTCCCACAAGTGGAAGAGTACCCTCATTATTTTCAAATAGCCATCAAGTGGGTCATCTATACTAACTTACGTTTATTTTAAAATGTTCATAGTCAACATAACTGACTAAAGTTAAAGGGGAAAACATATAAAGTACACATATGAAGAAGTCTTAATACTTTAAATCAACCATTTAAATTTGAAACGTATAAATTAGGCTAAAGGTATTATTCATAGGTAAATTATTTTTCATTTCTCTGCCAATTTGCTTTGGGGTTGGTGATAAATGTAAGATTAGGAGGAAAGGCAAAAATGGAGATAAAGATTCACATATAAGAAAACGGTGTGATGTCAAGATCTGATTACCAAATATTTAGGAATTTGGATAACCCTTGTTAAAGCCAATACTAAATATAAAATTGTATAAATTTACTATTAAATAAATTATACTGAATCATTCAAAACATGTTACTTATAAATTATTTTACATCTTGAAGTTAATTTCACTTTGTGTATATATGTGGTGGAATTTGTCTCACAAGGGTGTACAAGTACACTTTTCCCATTCATAGATAGTGTATTACTAGCTGGAAGTTGGGTATAGTTGGAGTGTTTATATTATGGGTAGCAGCAATCTCAGAAACCATACGAGGTCTGCAAAGAGAGAGTCAGTTGTTACACATATACCTCTATGCCGCTATCTATTCTACTCAAATGAACAAACAAAACTCCTCTCTCCTCTCTCTCTCTCTCTCTCTCCTTCTCTCATCTCTCTGTCTATCTATAGCTATGTCTTTTGATCCTAATGCAGTACTTCTCCCTTCCCTTTATTTTGAGGGTAAAACATTTTCTTTTACTGTGCTACATAGATAATGTTAATTTCCTTAACTAGAGCGGTGATGAGTCTGCAAGGAAAATATGTGAAATAAAAAGGAATGGGAAAGATATAATACTATAGGAAAGCTGCAGAAGAACTGTAGAGGATCCATAAGCTTATGAAGTATCATGTACATTTAAACAGTAGCACTCAACATTAACTAGAACCCAGATATGATGGCATTTAAAGTAATAAGCAGAGCACAGACATTTGATAATTTTTGGAGTAATCAGTGTTGTAGAGAGGAAAAGGAATCATGATAAACAAGGAGCATAAATGGTTCAGTCTCTCAGGAAGGCAATATGGCAAAACCCACTTGGACTGAAATCCACAAAGCTTCCAGCTTACCAGTTCACTACAAGTACATAAAATACATGAACAGATTAAAACACTGTGATGTAAAGACAATGAAAAGAACTTTAAATCTATCAACAAGGCTTGTGTGTGCATTATTAGTAAAATACAAAACTCTATACAAATGATTACTTTTAAAAATCTAAGAAAGATCAAGAGAAAAATAAAAACAGGGTAAAAAACTGAGTTTAACACATTTAAAGGATTCTATGTGTATACAAAATTAAACCCAACCACACAGGAAAGGTTGCAGCAGTTCCTTTCAGAGACTGCTTGAGAAGAACATCTTGCGTTTGACATGTGTATATAAAATATACTTCCCATATAATACTAGCCCCGACCTTCACTCCGATTTTAGTCCTTATGTTTTACCTGCTGAGCTTTCCCTGAAACAGTTTCCAGGGTTCTAAAATGAGAAGGTAGTTTCCAAAAGGTTGGAAGATTAGAAAGGACCTGAGCTGCTCAGCTGGGGAAGAATTAAGTGACAGTGTACCAGTAGGAATTAAAGTTAGAGAGAAAGAGGGAAACAGCGGTTGTCAGGACTAAACATCATACCATTTTCTAAAATAAGGCTGAAATCTCAAATAAGTACGAGAGACAGACAATACCTACGTTAGCCAAATCAAGGAGGGGCCAGTCACTGACTGCAAACAGGCCATTAACGCATGTCCTTTGGGGCACAGAAAAGCCAGGAGAGCTAAGGAATAGAAATGTGTAGTGGAGACTAGAGGGAATACAGGAGAACTCAAACATGTCCCTATGATACAAAGCCTTTCTCAAGCAAGAACTAGATAATCCTTATACTCTTAAGAGGAGGATTTACTGAGAAAAGAAAAATCAGAAAGTCAAAAACATGGCTTCATTGTTTCTTCTAAAAACAAACAAACAAAAAACCAAAAACTTTACCTTTGGACTTGGCAGTACGCCATTTTATGAAATATATTCTAAATCTTAAAAGTCCATAAGTATTGACAACAAAAGACAAAGTCATTTGTGAATGCGCAAGAAATCACTCAGCTTCCTTTACAGAAACTCTGGCTTGATCAGGACAAGAGTTTGTGCTACTCAGTACTCTGAAAGCCAAAGGAAGACAAGCTGCTCTGCGCAGAGAATGGCATGATGAGCAGAGAACAGTACTGGCCCAAACCAGATCAGTCTAGGCAGAGAAGCACCACGCCAGTAACTACGAGAGCAAAGGAGCACGAAGAGATACAGAGACGGGTGAAAACTTAGGGTCTTGTAAAGAGCTCAGAACGTGTGTAACAGGCGGGCAGGGGAGCACTGAGGACCAGAAGGGAGCACTGGAGGGGAGCTGTGACATGAAGGACTTCACAAGTCTTCCTAAAGGGGGCACACCGCACATTTCATCGTGGGCTGGCTTAGTGACTGTAACAGGGTTAGGTTACCTCTTCAATGGCCTTTTGTCTTTTGTCTTCCACATCTTTATCTGTTCTACACAGAGATAAAGGAGAAATATTACCAGCCCATTACTTCAGCTTATTGAACATTGAAAATAATAATTTCTCTTCACTGAAAACTGACAAATGTCAAACTCATTTTCAAAGAAAAACTGGCAGCAATTAGTTAATGGCAGTATTCTGAAATTCACCATTAGCTATTAGGCTCTCTTTCCTCTCACTCAAAGTTTACATGGAATAAAACTTTCTTTTAAAAGGCTTATGTTGATATACTAAGTTACTACCAACATCATAATTTAAATAAAGTATTTTAAGTAATACAAATTAAGTATTTCATTTGATAGAAAACTAACAATTGTCCAAATTCTTTTTTCAGTTCTAGCAATTTCATTATAGTAGTTATTTTAGAATAAACTTTTATTCTGAAAGGAAATTAACAATGTACTGTTCTGAATAGACAAGTAAAATATTAATTCTGAAATATAGTAATAATATAAAATTCTGTCCAAATAAATGCTTTTTCTGTTCTAATACAATACAGGATTACGACACATTTCTGTTATAAAATTTAATACAAAATGTCGGGTCCCAAGCACAAGGCATCCCTTGCCAAAGGCGTGGCAATTAGCCTTGTAAGACCACTTCTCTATTTTGTTTCAGGAAAGAATTATTGCAATCCATCCAAAAACTGGTAAAGAAATTACAACAAAAACCAATTTCAAATTATTTTCCTCAGTAACTATTCATGTGCACATCTGTTCCTGCATTAAAGGAAAGAAAAAAGGGAAGCTAGTGTGAGGGTGTACGCATTTCAGAAATTTAAGTTACAGGGAATTTTCAAGTAAGGGAATTATGAGAAAATAAACTCTGATGGTCATCCACAAGTCCTGGCTTGGACAACAGGCATTCTGAGTCTAACAACTCAGTTACCATCAGTATATGGCCGTATCATAACCGTATCAAAATGGCTATACATGCACTAATTTTAGTTCAGTAAGTTCCCATCTGGCTTCATCCCATTCCAAAACCTCCAGCTACTTCATGAGCAGAGCTGGACCCTGAAACACACAGCTGATTGTTGGATCAGTCAACTGTTGGAATGGAAAACCCTAAGGTGACAGATAGGGCAGAGTACCCTGGCTAGCACACCACTGCGCTCCAAGGACGCACACAGGTGGCCAGTGCTCCGATACTGATGTGTTCGCTTATTCTAATATTCCTACAGCACACCAGAGGAGGACGGCCTGAGGGCTCTGGTTAGTTAAGCCCTATCAGAGGCCACTGCCTTTTCCAACAGTGCATCAGTGCACTCAGCTGAGTGTTTCCACTTTCTTTGGGAGAAGCCATGAAAACATTCAGTGGATTACATCAGCAGGCTATTGTTAGAATGCATTGCCACTTTTCCCTTATAGAACAGATCTCTCTACTGAAATACACAAAAACATTCAGTGGATTACATCAGCAGGCTATCGTTAGAATGCATTGCCACTTTTCCCTCATAGAACAGATCTCTCTACTGAAATACACAAAAATTCTTTCTAAATTTAGCCAGATAACACACCCCTTAGTTTTGTAAAATATGTAGTAACTGTGGTGTAATTGACCAGTTAGTTCTTCAGGGCAGGAATAATATACAGTGCATTGTAGAGCTCGGGAAGTATCTTTTTTCTGACATCACAGTTGTCTATAATTCAATATATTGCAGATACGGCAAAAAATAAACTATACAGTCTTTGGGGGGGGTTATTCATGAACTCATCTGATTTTTTAAAAATCTTCTCTACAGAATTAAAACTTAAAATCCAGTATGGTTTGTCTTCAGCCTATCCCCCTGTATAAGAATTCAGGTGAGAATTAATTATGTAATCATGAGTAAATGGTCATTAGAATAGCAAGCAGTGAGATAGGGAGTAGAAGTCTTTGGGAGAACATCTCAACATGTGCATTTCTCTGAATGGACTCTAACATCAAAATGGAAAAGAACCAATTCCTTTGAGTGACAACACAGTGGACAAGCCATGCATTTAATTCTTTTTCTAATATTAAACAAATCAGACTATACGCCATCACCAGAAAAGCTTCCTCCTGAAGCAGATAGGAACAAACACAGAGATCCACAGCCAGACATCATGCAGAGAGCGAATGACCTTGGAGCACCCAGCCCGGGATTTCTCCATCAAACCCCTTCTCCCCTTAGGGCCAGGGAACCCTACAGAGCAGACAGCAGAAAGAGTCCAAGAAGCAGAGGGGATGGGGGACCCTGTGAGAACGAGGAAGGCGTCAACAGGAGCAGAGCTCAGGCGAACCCACAGAAACTGAAGCAGTACTCTCAGGGCCTGCACGGGTCTGGGCCAGATCTGAGCGGACTTGATTGCCTCCCGTTAGCTGTCTAATGGGATTCCTGAGCATGCGAACGAGTGGGTCTTTGATTATTGTGCTGTTTCTTGTGCTTCTCCTTCTGTTTATTTTGTCCAACCCCTATGTGTTAGGTTTTGTTTCACCTTATTATGTTTTCCTTATCCCTTAGAGGCCTGTCTTGTATTGAGAACAGAAAGGGAATAGGATCCAGAGGGGAGGCAAACTGGGGAGGAACGGGGAGCAGTAGAGGGAGGGAAAAACATAATCAGGATATATTACGCATGAAAAAAATCTATTTGTAGTCAAAGAAGAAAAGAAAACACAGAAAAACTCCGACTATAAAACAAAGGTTCTTTAAACTATAACCCTGCCTAGCAATCTGTTAAGTAAAAGCCTAGCTCTGGTCCACTAGCGAAAGTGTCACTAGCATGCTGCCACACTGAGCATCACTAAACAGCACAAACAAACTAGTGTTTGAAAACTATCCAAGACAAGTGCAAACTATGCAGGGGACATAAAGAATCAAAGGCAATTGGATGGACAGGCCCACAAGATAGCCGTGGTCAAAGCCCTTGTCGGGGCAACCCTCACTACCTAAAATCTAGCCCTGGACTCCAAGTTGGACGAGAGATCAACCTCCAGAGGCTACCTTCTGACCTCCAACACCCACACCATGGCATGTGCACACTCACACGCACAGACGCAGTAGTAAACAACAACTGAGATTCCTGATGAACTGTGTTAAAGCTCAATGATGCCTATAAATCTCTCTGTTGCCAATAAATGCTATTTCTTCAGTTGATTCTTAGCTTGTTAGGGGATTCTAGACTTCCCCAGATAGGCAGCAACTGAACAGAATCTTTTGTTATCCCAAGACACCAAACACATCAGAAGCCACAACTATAGGGAAACATACAAATGTTAAAGTGCTTTTCCATCTAACCAAGTGTTAGGAGACAGAATTAGAGAAGGGGAGGTAGGTAGGTAGGTGTGTGTGTGTGTGTGTGTGTGTGTGTGTGTGTTGTAAAAGACAAGGATTCCTATATGGATTGGAATTTTAAGACAAAATTCTTTAAAGTCACTCAGAAAAAAATCCACATTAATTTTTTTCTTTCTTGACATATTTACATATCAGAAGTTCTTATTTCTCTTTATGTAATGGTCTGTAACTACACTTAAGTACAAGAAAGGCAAACTTACCGAGAATGACTTAAGTAGGAGGCCTGACGATGAATCTCCTCCGGGTCTATGTCTACAGGATTCATTATAGCCATCTGATCGATAGACCACCTAAATTCCCCTGGAGTCTAATAAACGAAAGCAAACATACATATAAAATCAAATTAAAATAGTCCATCAAAATGTTACCCAATGTTACCTTCAAAACTGTAGATGGCTATAACAAAAATCTTTTAAAGCTTTTATTTTCAAATCTGTGTTTAATCACTCTAAGTTAAATGGCAAATAGTAACCAAATCACAGTAGGTTAGCCTTAAAATATCAAAACCTTCTGAGTAATTTAAAAAATGAGTCAGAGTAACAAAGGTATAGAAATACCACAACTAGCACTCATGAGGGAGAAATCATGACCATGAGTAAACAAACTTTAATTATCCAAGGTTGAAAGCCTTTATTGTCACTATGAATAAACTACAAGTCTTAGCCACAAAAGAAGTATCAACATTTCATGAAATAACTTACCCTCAAACTATTTAAGAATGGTACCCAGGGTTTCCCCCATACTTAACTATTCAACTCAAATAAAAAAACTGCAATTACAAATATATTGGGGGAGGGGATGCTATATTTTCTTTTTTTGTTTGTTTTTTGTTTGGGCTTTGACGTTTAACTACAATTTAATTGATGTCGGGAAGTGGTGGTGCACGCCTTTAATTCCAGCACTTGGGAGGCAGAGGCAGGAAGAACTACTCTATGAGTTCAGGGCCAGCATGGTCTACAGAGCTAGTTCCAGAAGAGCCAGGGCTGTCACAGAGAAAACCTTGCTTGAAAAACCAAAATAACAAAAACAAACAAGAAATTGCATTGAAATCGTTATTGTACTATTGTGTGTATATCCACACCCATGTTTGTGTGGGTACAGTATATGTGTGTGTGAGTGTACATATATACATGCCCAAGGGGGCTGGAGGTCAATTTGGGGCATTATGCCTCATTTTTTGAGACAGGGTCTGTCACTGACCTTGGTATATCAAATATCGAGGCTGGCTAGGCAGTAAGCGCCAAGGATCTGCCTGTATCTACCTCCCCTACAGTAGGACTATAAATAATCATCACTAGTGGCATTTTTACATACGTGCTAGGGATCTAATTCATGTCCTTGTGCTTGCATGGCAAATGGCAAGCATGCTACCAACTGGGCTATCTTCTCAACCTCCTTTATTTACTTTTGATTAAGACTGAAAGACAGCTAAATTTGATCAAGAATCAATTAATATAGGGAGGCCAAATTAGTGATATGATATCCTATCAATGGTTGGTCCCCTATATCTCCTTACCATCCAAGCAGAAACAGTCACCTGGTGCCTTGGTTAGGTTTACTATTGCCATGATGAAACACTACAACCAAAAGCAAGTTGGGGAGGAGAGCATTTATTTGGCTTACACTTTCCTATCACCACTCACTGTCAAAAGAAGTCAGGACAGGAACTCAAGTAGGGCAGAAATCTGGAGGCAGGAACTGATGCAGAGGACAGGAGGGTTTCTACTAACAGGCTTGTTCAGTCTGTTTTCTTAGAGAATCCAAGACCACCAGCCCGGGGATGGAACCAGCCACAACGGACTGGGCCATCCTAGTCAATTATTGATTTAAAACATGTCGAAGGGCGGTGGTGGCGCACGCCTTTAATCCCAGCACTCGGGAGGCAGAGGCAGGCGGATCTCTGTGAGTTGGAGATCAGCCTGAACTACAGAGTGAGTTCCAGGACAGCCTCCAAAGCCACAGAGAAACCCTGTCTCAACCCCCCCCCAAATTATAACAGGTTTGGCTGCTGCCCAATCTTATTTATAGAGGCATCCTCTCAACTGAGTCCCCTACCCATTCAACTGAGTCTCTCCAAGACCCAAGCTTGTGTCAAGCTGACAAGGAAGTAGACTGCACACCTAGTTTTACAGGGTTTCTAGGTCAGTGTGGTTAACCAATCAAAAGACAGTCGCCAGTTTAACAAGTAACAGTAAAAACAGCTAAAGCGATGAAGCCTTCTCTAATTTCCTAAAGAGCACACTTCTTTCTGTACCTTCTGATAACATAGCACATATTTCTCTATTTTGAAATTGCCCAATTTGCTGAATTATTCCAATAGCACAGGAGTCGACTCCCTTTTAAAACAACCTGTAAGCTATAATAGGACTCAGTGTTTTTAAACGGTCTGGAAAAAGAAAATGGAGGTCTCAATACGGCATGACAGATTCCATAGTAGGACATGGTCATATTTGTCCCCACATTGTTCTAGGCCGATTCTTTTGATGTGCGGCACATATGAGTAGTGCAACTAGGACCAGGAAACTTGCAAAGCCTGTCTGGTTCCTGAGGAAAAGGCAGTTGCTTCTGTGTTGGTGTGGAGATTCCTGGGGAGTTTGTAACAGGGGTCCTAACTCATCAACTGTATCTGATGCATAAGGGCATTCCTATCGCGTTTGCTGAAATTACTATTAGAAAACTAGGTGACACGGCTTCTGTAAGATATTTACATTTAAAATTATTGGCAATCACAACCATTTTAAATCACTTGTAAACATTTGACAAGAAAAACTTACTTGTAGTTTTGTGGATTTAAAGACAGAAGGACTGGCAAGGGTTTGTTTATGGAGATTAGAATAATCACTAGGACTTTCAAAGGGATTTAAAACAGGGATCCTTCCTGGAGTTTCCGGTGTTATTTGCATTTTTAATTCGCTCACATCTCCCATAGCCCAGCAAGCAAACTAAAAAAGAAACCAGAAGTATACATAGTAAAACTATTAAGTATCATACATAATAATCCTGACAAAAATATAACTAACATTTCACAAAGAGTTCACTCCAAACCTAAGTCTTCTGGGATTATTTTATAGTTTACAAGTGGGCATCCTGTACGTTTCCTCAGATGATCCTGAAAGCGTTGGTGCTCAGAGGAAGGAACACAAGTAGGAAAGTTAAATACACACCACTCAACTATGAGTGCTGGTCCAGTTGGAGGGAAGGAAATTACACTAAGCACAAGTCCCTTCCCAACCAAACGAATTCTATTTGTCGTTTTCTTTATTCGTGATCCCAAGATTAAATAGCAGGGACACCCTCCGATGCTCCAGTAATTCTATAAAGAACGACAATTACTACTCCTGGAGCATTAGCCGTCACTAGGGCAGGATGATTGACAGGGTCCAGGTGGGGATTTAACTAGTTTCCCCGAAGACGTTCGCCCCTCCAGGACACAAAAGCACAATGCATTCCTTCCAAAGAGGGTCACCGCCAGGCGGGAAAGAAAGGAACAAGAATTTACTTTTGGAAGTGCGAAGTTGAGCCGACTCCCTCTCGAAGAGCAGAGACGTCACTTCCAGCGACCATTCAGTTTCCAGGTGCCCCTCTCCCTGCTCCCCTTCTTCACGTCTCGGCGAGCGGGCAGGCTCGTCTCGTCTGGCGCCGGGAAAGCAGGGGCGTCCAGCTCCTCCAGGGAGAGGTCGAGTCCCGGGGCCCACGCAGGACGTGCCTACACCCGCGGGGGACGTGGAAGTGCGAGCATGGCCTGCAGAGCCCACCGCAGGCGCCGACTCTTTAACTCCCTCCGCGCGGTCTCCGGCCAACCAGGGCGCGGGGCGGGGCGAGGCGACAGGCCAATGGCGTCTCACCGCCGTCCGCGAACCAGCCAATGGCGTCGAGGCGGCGGAGCGAATTCGAACGCCAACTCCTCGCTCTAAGTTCCGCGCTGGGGAACGAGGCTCCAAATTCAAATCCGCGCCGCCTTGCGTCGGCGCCCGGCGCCAGAGGGCGTGGCCTGGCCGGAGTGGGCGTGGCCCGGCCGGCGGGAGCGCGGCCGCGCGGTGGGACGGCGGGGCGGAGGCGGGGCTTGCCCGGCGTGGGCGGGGCTCTGGCGGCGTGAGCGCGGCCGCGCGGTGGGCCTGCCGGGTCGGAGGGGCGTGCGCTCCATTTCCGGGTCAGGCCCTCTCCCACCGGCTCCCGCTTTTCTCTTCTCCATGGCTGGCGGCGGCGGCGGCGCGGGCGCGGCGGCCTCGGCCAACCTGAACGCGGTGAGGGAGACCATGGACGGTGAGTGCGCGGCGCGCTCGCCTTACCCGGCCTGCGCTCCCCGGCGCCGAGCCCCAGACGGAGGCGTTTCCGCCGAGGGCCCAGCGCTCCCCGCGTCGGCCCCAGCGCCGCCCTGCGAGGGCCCGGGGAAGGGGGACCGGCCGCGACCTCGAAGCTGGCGGCCCGGTCCCTGTCCCCGGAGCGCCGGCCCTCCGCGGAGGCGTAGTTTGGCGCGCGCGCGGCGTTCTGGCCTCGCGGCGGCCCGTTGCCCGCCCAGCCCGGGTCCACGCGACCCGCCCCTGTCCCAGGCGCGCGCTGGCGGCGCCCGGGAAGCTGGTGACCCCAAGTCCCCGGCGAAAGGTGGCGTGGACCCTCGGTCACCGCTCAGTCCCCGGGCCCTGGCATCTCAGTCGGGAGCCGTTTGTGCCCAGCAAGTGAGCGGATCTTCCGGTCGCCGTCTGCCAGTCCTGCCTGGACCGGGAGACTCGGGTGGCCGCTGATGTGGGTGTGTCCGCACGCACGTGCCCAAAAAAATAAGTGTCTCGGAGTTGCCCCCTCTCTGCTGCTGTGGTTCTGCAGCTTCGTGCTTAGGAATGTGTAAACCGATGCATTCTGATTTATGAAATAAAGCTATCTAGCTGCGAGGGCTGTTGTGGGCGTTTAAAATTAGACAATCAGGTTTTGCGTTAGCTGACGTCCCATTTGCAAGGATCTTTGTCCTCATTTGACTTGTTTCCTTGTACATGTGGTGCTATATGTCTGTATTGGCAGTGGCCTTGATGGTTTCCAGGAGTTACTGCCTCAGCCTTAAAAGATAACCCAATTGCCACTAGGTGATGTCAACCCTACTGCCTTGTTGTCACTAAATGCCTGCCATCTTATTTTGCCCCTTCCAATTCTTGGAATGCCCTGCACTGGCCACTGCTTTCGGTTTTTGTTTTTGTTTTGTTTTTAAGAATGGAACTGTTAGAAGCTTTACATTTATTTTTTTTTCTACCTAGTTGGTATTTTTACATTGCTCCTTTTCTGAAAATTCGGTTAGAAATAACCATATCCAGCCAGGTTCTTCATTCTATGCGTTCCATGGCTTACTGTTTTGTAAACCGAATTTATGTACCCAAGGAGTATCTGTATATGATTATCTTCTTGCCGTGGTGGCTTTGGGGGGGTGTTGTTCTGAGACAGAGTTTTGCTGTGAGAACATTAGCTTCTCTTTCTGCCTCTGGAGTGTCTTGGAGTGCTGGGTCTCCAGTACATACCCCTTGCACCACTGTGTATTTTGAATTATATCTGAAGATAAGGCCTCCCTTCCATCCAGTTTTCTTCGAAGGAAAACTCTTTGGTTGTATCATCACCATCTTTTCTGAGAGAGCTTGCTTATAAAATAAAAATTACAGAATATATGAGAACATGTAGAAGTGAAGACCAGAGGGTTTTTTAATGGAGGGAGAGTATGTGTGATATTTTATTGCATTTAAATCAATGTATGAGAGTCAACATGAAGTTTTCAAGCATTTTGAATCCATTTTGTCCTTCAAGAGCAGTTTTTCTCCAAGATCTAATGTATATATTTCTCATGTTCTCCCTCCTTTCTGTTACCTAACAAGGATCTAAGCTTTTGATGTCAGTGGCTTGTTGGGATAATGGGAGTAAACTTTGTTAAGGCTATATTACATATGGGAAGAAGCAAGTAGGCACTGTAATTTGTCTACACACTCTGAAAGGAACCTGGCTTACCCTAACCCAGACAGAGTGTTAAGAGCTGTGAGATAAGATACTCTGCTCACATCCATGTTACACTCAACATACAATTCCAACATTTCCTCTTAAAATGTCGAGACCTGTGGCTGGAGAGATGGCTCAGCAGTTATGAGCACTTCTGGCTGCTCTTCCAGATGGCCCCGGTTCAATTTCCCAGTACCCTTGTGGCAATCACAACTGTAACTCCAGTTCCAGGGGATCTGATACCTTCACACCAATGCACATAAAATAAAGTTAAATAAATTTTTTTTAAAAAGTAGCCAGACTTTGCAACTACTCCCTCCCCTTTCAGTGTAATTCCTCAAATTTTATTTTACTATTAGTAATTGTGTTTTTGATCATTTTTCTTTCCAAAGGCTTCAGTGTTGAAACAATTTTATGTATCAGTAGTGAGCTTCCAAAAGCTTACTAAGCAAAGGAGTTGAGAGCCATCAGACTAGTCAGTGACACTAATGGCATCCAGCCTCTTTGCTCATTTGAGAAGGAAATCTGCAGTCACTCTGATTTTATTGTGTCTCTCCTGCCTCCTAGTCTTCACAGGCCTTAAAATTCATCACTAATATGATATTTGACAACTTTTTTTTGTAGGGTATCCCATTTACCAGTCTTACCAAATTTACAGCAATATAGACTGATTCCATATCATACATGACTCATTCAAAAAATCAAACCTATGTTTAAAAACTCTCAAATACAGATCCTACTTTATGTCTCAAACTTGAGTTCTTTAGTAGGGTTCATTTTCATGTCTCCTGTCCCTTCTCATTTGTCCCTTCACAACATTGCCTTGACGCTACCTGTTGACATCAGTGCACGGTACGTTCCTGCCATTCTAGGAGCTATTGCACACGTGTGCTTTCCACTGCTTCTCTCGCTAAGGTTGTTGCTGCCTCAGGTGAGCCTTTCTCAGTACTGCCTTTTCTAAATCGGTGCAGTGCCCCTGTAATTTGTTTCAGTGTGAATCAGCCTGTTTTGTCTTGCTGTAACAGATTACCCGAGTCTGTGTAAACCAAAGAACAGGGAATTCATGTTTTAGTCCTGCTTGCTGGCAAGTCTAAGGGGCCTATACTAGCAAGAGGGCCTTCTTGCCGTATTATCTCCCAGGAAAAGAGCATGCGTGCATAAGAAAGGGAGCAGGGTGAGGAGACCAAGTTGGTCCCACACCAAAAATCTCTCAAATACAAACTCTAGTTTTGTATCTGCCAGTAGCTTCTCAGACTTCTGGATTGTTTAATAGGGCCTTACTGGATTGCATGTCTCCTTATCTCAGTGTATCAGAAGTAACCTTGGAATCTCCAAGGGTTAAGTAGATGCTTATGAAAACAATCAGAGTTAAAAAAAAAAGAAAAATCCATATGCTTAGGGATATAAACATTAAAAAATAATGTTGAAGTATAATTATAAACAAGGAAAGGAAGTCTCCGTTGATTTTAAAAAATAAAAACCCAAGGTTTCCCCATAAGAAAGCAGAAGGGAACCATGGTGGGGTTTTGAGGCTGGAGCCCAAGGATGTTGCCCTGCCAGCCTACCAGGCGGAAATATACCATCTGCCAGCACAGAGATGGAGAAGCATCATCCGTGTGTTCTCTGAGTCTTGAGCCAAGATGCTTCTGTAAAGCTTTGTCCAGAGAACTTGAGGCCAGGGTAAGAGGGGTATCAGAGAGCTTGTGAGCAGGACGAGTTTTTCACAGGACCTGAATTCTCATCTCAAAGTCACAAAGTTCCTTAGGTAGATGAGAAAAGATTAAGCCATAATAGGTAATAGCTGGGCTTTTACTGAGTCCTACTATATGTTAGGCACCATTCTAACTGTATCCTAACCCTATAAAATAAGTACTGTTGCCTGCTATTTATAGAGTGGTAAAGTAAATGCAAAATGGGATGAACTCATAGGAATAAAACTAGAATTGGAACTCAGATGGCCTGGTTCTAGAGCGCACACTCTTGACTGACCCACTACTCTCCTTTACTGCTTACTGTGTTTCAGAAGTCATAGAGCATCCTCCGATAAACCAGAGCATTGGAAAATAGAGCCTAAGTTATGTAAAGGCAGGAACAACAGACAAAATAGGAAACCACTGTAAATAAGCATTCAGTAAGAAAAATGACTTTGGAGAAAATGGATGTCTCAAAGTACAATCACTGAAATCAGCAGATAACATGGGTAACAGGCTTATTTCACTGAAGAGCAAAATATTAGTAAATTGAATTATCAGCCCTGAAAAAAACGGAATAACAGACAGAGCATATCCTCTGCTTGCACAAAGCAAAAACCCATGTAAAACATAGATTTGCAAGAGACTGAATATTAGTCATTAAAGAATGTGTTTGTTTTTCGAGACAGGGTTTCTCTGTAGCTTTGGAGCACACTTTGTAGACCAGGCTGGCCTCAAACACAGAGATGCACCCGCCACTGCCTCACAAGTACTGGTATTAAAGGCGTGTGCCACCACCACCACCTGGCAAGAATGTGATTCTTAAGGGACAGGAAATACTTGAGGTAGTATTTCTGTCACCCAACTCATCATCTTCAAGGCTCATTACCGCACAGACATGCCAGGTGGGACCAGGTGGACAGTGAGTTGAGCTGTGGAGCTTGGAAGATGGAGAAGAACAGTTCAAGAAGAGTGGTTAATACAGGCGGGGCGGGGAGCGCTACCTGAGAGAGCTGCAGAGGTTTCTGGAGGTCAGTAGCATAGTTGGAAGAGCATTGTTAACACATTCACCACCCAGAAAACTGGGGGACAAAACACCCAGACTATTAGAAGAACACAACACATACTTCCACAGAGCTGAGGACAGTGCCACCCTATAAGCCAGAATGGAAAACGCAATTTGTGAAATAGTCATAGAGTACTTGGAAGAGATTTACTTAGCAGCAAAATCAGCTGTTCACTATGGATCTTTCATTCTGCCTGGCCGATTTCAGGATTAAGACCTAAAAGGATCAGTTTCTAGGTAACTATTTACTATAAGCTCAAGGATATTCATAGGAAGATAAAGATGTCCAGTACCAACAAAGTAAAGTTACAGTATCTAGCTACTAATTACTGAGTATGTAAAATAGAAAAATATGAGTTATGATGAGAAAAATTCAGACCATTAGAAGAAAAAGAAAAAAAAAAAAAACGAACAACCAACCCACAGACATTAGAATTTAGACAAGAGGTTCAGAACTGTATTCCATATTCAAAAACTTTAATACTGACATGGAAAGTATCATTGAACTATTAGACATGAAAATAAATAATATGAAAAGTGGGAAAAGTTGCATGCTGACATGAATGCTATGATAGTTTTCAGTACTTAGAGTTAAATTAGTGAGTGACTAAGTATGTTTTATTTTGTTTGCTCTATCTGCATGCATGGCTTTCTGCCAGAAGAGGGCATTAGATCCCACTACAGGTGGTTGTGAGCCTCCATGTGGTTCCTGGGATGTGAACTCAGGACCTCTGAAGAGCAGCAGCTAGTGCTGTTAACCTCTGAGTCATCTCTCCAACACATGACTATTGTTAACTTGTCCATTTTTCTGAAAATAATTGATGGTTTCATGCAGTTGAAGCAGGAATCCCAATAAATTTGTTTTGGAAATTGATGAAAATGTCTGACTTCACCCTGAGAATAAAAGGGCTTTTTTATTTCTACAAGACAGTGGCAGAAGAATATTTAAGCTACTGTGTGCAATATAAAGTTAGTAGTTAATGATATGGCTATGACACAACCATGCTGTATAGATCTCTGAAAACTTATGTGGTAAAGATAGCAATTGCCATCTAGTGACAAAAGGATATACCATTCAATAAATTATATTGTGGCAACTGGCTAATTTCTGGGAAAAGATCTTTTCTTCTGTCTGCACCAGGAATCAAATATTTAAATGCATATGGAAGGGAGAAATCAACTCTCAAGTGCTGGACAGAGAATAATGATAAATTCACTCTGCATGGGAAATACTATCCTAAGTATAATGCAAGGTCAAAGTATATAACAGGTAATGTTATCAGTTGACTTGAATTGTAAACACCACCATTTAACAAAGTCAGTGGAACTCTTGTTTGTACGTCTTGTAAGGAAAAGTGTGGATCGAGTTTTCTGTACTGCCCAGTCCCATAAACACACAGAGGGTTATATTAATTATATAAACTGTTTGACCTATGACTCAGGCTTCTTATTGGCTAGTTCTCTCTAATTATTAACCCATTTCTATTAAACTATGTATTGCTATAAGGCTGTAACTTATCCATAATGTTCCAGCATGTTACTCCTTCATCGGCTACATGGCTTCTCCTTGGCAACTCTTCATGATCCTCTTCCTAGCCTTCTAGTCTGGTAGCCCTGCCTATACTTCTTCCTGGCTACATCCTGTCTATCCATTGACCAAAATAACCTTATTCATCAACCAGTAAGAGAAACATATATTCACAGCATACAGAAGGACATCCCCCATCAGGAAAGGATTCCTGGAAGAACTAAGTGACCTAGGTTCTCAATGTTGCTACTTTTTTTGGGGGGGGGGTTACGAGACAGGGTTTCTCTGTATTGTTTTGGAGGTTGTCGGATCAGCCCGGCTTCGAACTCACAGAGATCCGCCTGCCTCTGCCTCCCGAGTGCTGGGATTAAAGGCGTGCGCCACCACGGCCCGGCTCAATGCTGCCACTTTTAATGTCAAAAGGATACTTTAATGAGCTACCACAAAATGCAGTACTATAGAAAATGAAGTTAAGGATGTGGTGCTATTACATACACTCATGCACATAAAATAGGAAAGTTAAACTGTACCAGCATTTTATTAATAAAATCAACAGATGCAATTACTCTGTCAAATTATTAGGAAAGGGTCTAAAGCTGTAAATGTGGCTATGTTGCTCAGTAGTTCTTTTAGAAGTACTGATCTTCAGGACCTACATGGTAGAAGGAGAGAAATAATTCTGTGAGTTGTCCCTCAGACCTCTCTACTGGTATACCTTGGCCTATGGGAACCCACACGTACACATGAATTAGTCAGTCAATGGGTAAGTATAAAAACATAAGCTGAGCCGGGCGTTGGTGGCGCATGCCTTTAATCCCAGCTCCCGGAAGGCAGAGGCAGGCGGATCTCTGTGAGTTCGACACCAGCCTGGTCTACAGAGCAAGTTCCAGGACAGCCTCCACAGCCACAGAGAAACCCTGTCTTGTAAAACTAAAAAAGAAAAAAAAAAAAAAAAAAAACATAAGCTGAGAAACACATACTGGACCCTTAAGTGTTTATTCCTTAATAGAGCAGTACTCTGCTCAGCCATTGTCGGGGGAAACTTCCTCTTGCAGCAGATGGGAGCAAATAGAGACACCAACAACCAGACGTTATTCAGAGAGTGGGAGACATTGGGACACTCAGCCCTAAATGGGATGTCTGCAAATCCCTTCCCTCCCTGCTAAAAAAGAGGCAAGAAGGGTGTCTAAGCTAGAGGGGATGGAAAACCCCAAGAAGACCCTCTAAATCCACATGAGCAAAATTCATATGAACTCAAGACTGAAGCAGCACGCACAGGGCCTGCGTGGGTCTACACCCAGTCCTCTGTGTATATGTCCCATGCCTCCCAGTTTAGCGTTGCTTTGTTTTCATGGGATTCCTGAGTTTGCAAATGAGTGTGATTCTTTTGCCTTTTCTTGGGCTTTTTTCCTTCTGTTTGCTTGGTCCTACTCTGATGTTTTAGTTTTTGTTTTACCATATTATAGTATATTATTAGCCCTTTGAAACTTGTTTGTTTTTTAATGAGAATGGAAAGAGAGTGGGTTCCAGATGGGACAGGAAATGGAAGGAGTAAAGGGTGGGGAAACTATAATCAGGATATCCTATGTGGGTTTCTGCGATCTGCTTCTGTCAGTTACTGGGGGAAGGTTCTGTGATGACAATTAGGGTAATCGTCAATCTGATTACAGGAAAAGGCCAGTTAGGCACCCTCTAATCTACTAGGGGCTTAGCTGGGGTCATCCTTGTGGATTCCTGGGAATCTCCGTGGCATTAGGTTTCGCACTAGCCCAGTAGTGGCCCCTCTATTGATGTTCTTTCATTGTTCTCCCTCTCCATCCCTCCCCCAACTCAACCACCCCATTCCCTGGAGAGCCTGCATGGCACCAAACTAGGCTCTCTGCATGTAGGTGATAGTTTTGTAGCTCTGTTTGTGGGATCCCTGGCAGTGGAACCAGGATCTGTCCCTGGTACATGGACTTGCTTTTTGAAGCCCACTCCTTATTGTGGGATGCTTTGCTCGGCCTTGATTGGGGCCGGAGTGTTGGTCATGCCTTAACTGAATTTGCCAGGCCTTGTTGACTCCCCATGAAGGCCTTACCCTTACTGAGGGTGGGGGAGTGGAAGGAGGGGAGGGGGAACTGGCTTGTATGTGAAATGAATAAAAAATATTTAAAATATGAATGATTCATTTTCAAGTAATAAATATGTTAAAGTGCTTTTCCACAATTTCTTTAACATTTTTTTAACTTTTGAGATTATAATTTCTCTCTTCCCTTCATATCCTTTTATACTACCCTCTATACTCTACTTCAAATTTATAGTTTCTATATTTTACTAATTGCTATTGTATACATACATACGTGCGTTCATATAAATATGCCTAAAGAAAACTTATTCAGTCCATTAAGAAGGAGTACTGTGTGCATTTTTTTTAGATGTTACACACATTTTAAAACTGTGCCTCTATCTTTTTCAGTTCTGCTTGAGATTTCAAGGATTTTGAATACCGGTTTAGATATGGAAACCCTGTCTATATGTGTACGACTGTGCGAACAAGGTATCAATCCAGAGGCTTTATCATCCGTAATTAAGGAGCTTCGAAAGGGCACTGAAGCACTAAAGGTTAGATTTGCATATTAGCTTTTTTCTCCTCTTTAGCTTTCTTTTTACTTATTCTTGTATCTTTCACCTCATACATCTCTATCCCACCCATCTCCCATCCACCCTCTGCCCCCCAAAAAAATAAAATAAAATTTAAGAGAAAAGAGGAAAGAAAGGGAGAATCTCATTGTGGAGGCTGCAGTGAGATACACTGAGTTACGCAGAAAAGCGCCCCTTTACATGCAGACGTTTGTTGTAAAGAGTCATTGGCCTGGACTCTCACTGGGACTCTTCCTGAACATCCAGTTGCTGCCCCATGTTGTGGCGATCCTGCAGCCCTGGGTCCGCAGGACACCACAACCCCTGTGCTCCAGCAGATCATCGATGGGGTAGATATTTGAATACAAATAAACAGGAACAAGGCATGTGAAGATAGCAGGAGAGAAAGCTGTATGGTCATGCATCCCACGAACTGTGAATATTGAAACTTTAAGTGATCATTTGTCCAACAGCAGTACGGCTTCCCTTTTTTTCCTGAGACAATGGAGCTATGTGAAGTATGCAATGCAAGTTGCTTCTTTTCCAATTGTTTTTTCAGAGCAACCCAGGGGTTTTTATTTTATTACTCTTTGAGTTTGAACCCTAACAAGAAAGGTAAACAAAACATACTTACAGGGCAAATATTGATTATAAATACAAGAAGGGCCAGGAAGATTGCTCAATGAAGTGCTTACCATTCATTAGTGCTTACCATGCATTCGTGCAAACATGATTTGATCCCAGTGCATGTCTGTATTCGTAGAGCTGGAAGGTGGAGATGGAGGGTCCCTGGGGCTTGTTGGTAAGTTAGTGTGGACAAATCAATAAACTCCAGGTTCATCGAAAGAAAGTGATTATGGAAGATACCTGGTGTTGACCATACATACACATGCACACAGAGAGAATTGAACACCCCTATGATTATCTCTAAAGGATGTTAGAAATCCCTCTTCCCTAACACTCACTCTTCTCTTCCCTTGCTCTCCCCTCCAGTCTCCTGAGTTTTATAGTAGACATTCACCACTCCCGCTAATTGATCCGGAGGCCTAAAAGCTGCTATAACTTTGTCAGAGTTTTAAGCTTCATTTAAGTGGAATCTTACACTATTTCTGCCAGGTTCTTTCATGTCTGTGGTATTTGCTTATCATGAATGTCACTGTAATGTGTTTCTTTTCTTGCAAATAAGTTTCCTTCTACAAATATGCTACAGTTTTTCCTATCTATTATGAATAGATACTGAGTTGTTTCCAGTTTAAGACTATCAAATAATGCTGCTTTGAGCATTGTAGCCCTTGTCTCCTCATGCTTATATGTGTGTGTTTGGTTTGGATATATACCTAGACATAAAATGACTGGACTGTAGGTTTGTGCATTAGCAACTTAATAAATCAAGTGCCAACTTAATAAATCAAGTGCCAAGTTTTCCCAATTTCCCAAATTTCTTAATTTGTACTTCACCAGCACCATATAAGTTTCTTTTGCTTCGTATTCATTGGTATTCATTACTGGGAGCCTTAATTTCAGCCAGTTCTCATTAAGGGACACATATGGGTCTTCTTTTTATTTGTACTTCTGAGTACCCATTAAAATTAAATGCATTTCACAGGGTTTTGCCCAGCTTCTATTCATTCACTTACCTTCTTTGTCATCTTTTTAAAAATTCAGTTTCTAACTTTCACAGCAGGCTGAAAAAGAACTGAAAAGTTAGAATTGGTGACAGTTAAGTGAATATTTTCCTTGTGCTAAAGTAGACCATAGACTCAGGCTATACTGGCATTACTTCTCCTGCAGTCATACGGTACAGGTACTACTACTGCTGTCAGTAACATGTTGCCGAGGAAACCGAAGCTGGTAGTAACCAGCCCAGCTACTGATAGTTAAGTAGTTATAATTTGCACTGTCTGACAAAGAATATGTCAGCCAGCTTTTTTAATGTTTTCTTTTTTGAGACAAAGTCTCATTATGTATTCCTGGATAGCCCCAGACTCATAGAGATCATCCTGCCTCTGCCTCCAGAGTGCCACCACACCTGGCAAAACTCTTTTGTGAGTTCAAAGCCATTGGGGTCTACAGAGTGAGTTCCAGGACTACACAGAGAAACCCTGTCTCGAAAAGCAAACAAAGTTCATCATTTTCATATTGGCATGAAGAAATTATATTAAGTCCTTGTTTGGTTTGTTCCTGGGTTTCTAAAACAGGGTTTGTTCCCCATGGCGCTCAACTTTCTGTTTGTAATCTAGCAGTGAATTCAAAGGATAATCTTGATAACACAACAAAAATAAAAATCACTGTATTTTCCCAATAAAGGTAATTCAGTTATGTTGGGAAACAGCTGGCTGTTTGGTATGGTATAGAACTGACAGATTTACCTCCAGGGTGTCTTCTGAAATCACAAGTCTTGCTCTCTTGTTTTAGGCTGCTGAAAATGCAAGCTGACTTCTGGGGAAGTTCTGAGCAGATTTGTCAAGCTCTGCAAGCAAATTTGAAGACTGCATTGTAGTCAAGATGTACAATGATATTACTGCTTGCTGCATAGAAAATGTTTTCTTTTAAAAAGAATTATAAAACCGTGGCTGTGTAAGTCAATGGGAAGTGGCTTAAGGGAGAACTAGTGGGCACGTTTACATCACGGCCATCTCGTTGTTAATGGCACCAGCTCCATGGCATCGCTGCACTCTTCTTTATGTATTCCTTCTTTATGGCTCTGCTAGCTGTAATTTTCTACACAGTATCTGTCAGATATACACAGCTGCTATGCCTGGTTAGTGGAACACATCAGAGGTGATGAATTGTAGTTATGACTTGTTGACATTTCCATTATAAACCTTAATTTTGAAGTGTTTATGCATAATAACTGGCTATATGTTCCACTGGGCTGGAAGCTGATGGGATTTCAGCTGCCATTTGTGAGTTTGCTTATTTGTGTGTTTCACATCTTGTTTCTTAAAAAAGGGTCAAAAGCATATCTTCTAATCATCTCCTTAACAGAATGTTTAGTTTTTAAAGCAGGTTTTTGGCAGTTAAAAGTATAAAGATGGATTTTTATATTGACTAAAACTTAGAACTTTTAGAAATTTGGATTTTAAAGGTAATGCCCGGGCTTGGTTTAGCCTTATTTGTAGTGAACCATTTAAATTTAATGAGAGTATCTGAGAACACTTTTCTTTCCAAATTTTATACCAAGTAAAGGCCTACAAAATAATGTATAAAGTAAAATAGTAAACTTGCATAAAAATAATAGAAATGTATACTAATTAATCTTGACTGGCTATTTAATCAGTACATAGGTCATGTATTTCAACAAATTGATCCATAATATTTTCTAAAGAAGTAGGGTTTTCTACTTGTTAAAAAAATAATGAAATGTGTACTAGTAAATTTAAGTATGACTGCAGAAAAAATTTGTGTCATTATTTTTAAAGGATAAACCCATGAAAATAATGGTTCAAAAATAAATTTTAAAAAATGATGGCAGTATTGGTTCTGTTCCTGTTAGAGAATCGCAGTGGAATGTTTTCACAAGCTTAATAAGGATTTAGTCTGAATTTTGTTGTTTCTTAAATTTTAATTTTGGTTCCCTGACACTTATATGACATACAAGCATTCATTCTTCTGTAGCCTCTTTTGTAGTTCAGACAATCAGAAGTGATTTTAAAAGGGTTAGTAATTAAGTAGCTAGCCTCTCTGCTGCCCTAGTCTCAACTATTCCCTATAATCAGAAGACTGGGGTAGAGGGCTTGTGCATTGCAGGCCACCTTGGGCTTTATGGGCAATGTAGAGAGACCCCATCTCAACAGACGAAATCTGGGCTTGTAGCTAGTTTGACTTTTTAAATGCATGACGTCTTTACTGAGTAAATTGAAAGGTCTATTACGGGCAACTCTCCCAAGTTGGGGGATAGTAAGAACTTATAAGAATCATAGGATTGCTGATATGCACATATTGCATATCACAAAGAACTCTCTCAGATTCCACAATTTGTATTTACTTGTAGGCCATAGAGTTAATAGTTTTATTTATGATTTTATAGATGAAGTTATTTATGTGCAGAATAAAGTAGGAAAATATATTGAAAACGGATTGTGTTTTTAGAGAATATATTGTATCTCATTATGTTTATAAAGAACTTTGTGTTACATTTTCAAATGTAAACATATATTTTTAATGAGCTCATAAGTAAAATTTAAGAAACTAGTGATAACAATGGCAGTATCATGCATGTTGTCAGTGACAAAATGATTTTGGTATTGGCATGTCCTTTTGATGTAATATATGCTTCTGTGAGTTCAGTGCTGTTTCTGAAATTAAGCTTTGAGTGGGAGTGGAAGTTTTTCCTGATAGTAAGAGGAGATAATCATATTAGTATTGCCTTGGTTTCAAAACTAAGTTGATAACTCAAATAAATGTAATAATGTGGGTTTTTTTCTATGCCTCGTGCAAGGTAATCTTTATGTGGAAGTTATTATACAAATTATTTGTATAAAAATTGTTGTTCAAATATATGTGAACATTTCCCAATAATTGAATCAAATGTGTTTCAAACATCTAATTAAAAACTTGAGTCCTTGGTCTCATTGACCATTCTTTATTGTCTTGAAAGATAATGTAAAACTTACGATTTTGGGTGATTTATGTTGAGCAGCTTAGTGACATGAAGAACCTGCCATTATTTGTAACCCTCAACATCTTTAGAACTTGCTAGTTAGTGATTCCTCATATCCTCTACTAACTCAGCCAATCCGTTTTCTGCATTCTGTCCATGAACTTAATTCTAGCCATGTATAAGTTGAATCACATAGCATCTGTCCATTAAGTCTCAACATTCATTGTAATGTCTGTGCTGTGCTTCCCTGTTTATTCACCAGCCACTGGGGCTGTTATGAGTGATGCTGTGAACATGGTATGTAGGTATCCATTCAGCCTCTTCCTTTTAGTACTTTGGGAAACATACATACTCCACAATGGAAGGATGAGTTTAATAAGGAGACTGGGGATGATGTTGTGATAGCAACATAGCCTACGTGAGCAAATCAGGATAGATCCAGAGACATTAGAGAATGACATGAATGTAGTAGTTACAAGGGAAATGCACTAACGTGACTGGGTTCCTACATGTAGGAAACCAAGTGGAAATCAAATTTCCTTTCAATTTATTTTAAGCTTCATCCTTGCCAACCCTCCAGAGACCCCTCAACTGTGTTTTTCTTTGTGCAGCATTTGTGGCCATTTCCAAGTAGAGTTTAGGGTTGTTAATTCCCATCCACCTCTACCTGAAAAAGTCACACAAGGACAGGGTTTTTCTTGATTTTCTTCATTGATGCTCTCATTTTGAGCAGTGCCTAATACACAGTAAATGCTCAGTAACTACATATCAGACTAAATAGATAAAAACGGGGCATCTAAAACTGCATCCATCCACCATATGGTTGAAAAAACTTGACTTGGTGTTATAACACATCTAGGTGTTTAATTCTTAGCCTTCCAGTAATTGCAAGAGGTAGCTCCTTCAGCCTGTGGCAGATAACTCAAGAGATAAAGTATAGGTTAACGGGAACTAAAATGCGGACGTACGAGCGGCAAGATGGGGAGCCGGATAAGCAGGCTGAGAGCCCACAGACCTTAGTGCTCTCACTGAACCCTTGCTCTTACTCTGGGATTGCTGTGTATCCTGTAGCTGGTGGCTGGGTGGCTAGACGATGTCCTCCTTCCCTTGTTCTCTTGCTGCTTTTCTTCCTTGGTTTTCCTTCTATTCTCTGCCTGCCAGCCCTGCCTGATCCGTGCTCCTGCCTCACCATTGGCCGTTCAGCTCTTTATTAAACCATCAGGTGTTTTTGGCAAAGAATCATAGCTTCACCGAGTTAAACAAATGCAGCATAAACAAGTCACATACCTTAAAATAATATTCTACCGCACTGGGATATCCAAGTAATGTAAAAAATGAAATTTAATATTAAATTAATCTGACTTAACCTATATACCCAGTCAAGCTAGTCTAAAATAGCACCCCCTTGAGTATCATACATTCACCAAGAAACAGCTACGTGACTACACTGGAGTGGGACGCAATTTCAGATTTCTATAATTCCACTCTGTATTTGTTAATCAAAAGATCTGCTCTATCTCCAGGAAAAACAAAAGTAGTGGCAGTAGCTAACTCATTTCTGAAGAGATCATAGGACATTTTGAAAGGGCGAGATTCACAGCTCAGATCCCTGGCACTTGTGAAAAAGCGGGTTGGTGGTACACACCTGTAGCCCCATCGCTAAAGGGTGGAGATGGGCAGAACCACGGTTGGGAGCTTGCTGGCTCCCTAGTCTAGCCTTAAGGGCAATCCCCAGGTTCAGTGAGAGACCACATCTCATGAATTACAACAGAGGTAGATATAGAATGTCGTCTTCTGGCTCCAAGTAAGTGTGCACAGGTAAATGCATCCAGATACATGTGTACACACACACTTGAACACGAGCAATACAGAACCAAGTCACACCTTGACACTATCAGCGGAATGAGACAAGGATTGTACTTCATATGGAATTGCTTTTACATTGTAAGTGTAGCATTCCCATGCTGCCATCTTTGATGTCCCTTCTGCACGTTTGTAAGCCACAAGGATGGTCTCATTTAGACAGGACTGGTTTTAGGGGCACAGAAACTGGATTCTGGGCGTTCTTTCCAAATCTCTAGGATGAAGGTAACATCAGTGTTACAAGAATTAAATGGGGGTAATAAGTGGATGTTAAGTCCATAGCATGCCACATTGCAGGAACTAAATTAATGGGAAATCCTAGGTTTCGTGTGAATGGAACTATTGTGGCACCTCAGTTTTAGGAGTGGCCTAGTGATTTAATAGTGTCCAGTGCACATTTTCCCCTGTGCTATCAGACCTGTTTTCAGGAGCCCCGATTTTACAGGATCTTTTTCAGAAACAAAAGGTATTTAAATATAAGCATATGCTGTGTTTGTACAGTGAAGATCAAGACACCATACTAATAAAAATGGGAGATTAATATGTAGCTAGATTTTAGTGTCGAGGCTCGCATAGCTAATTAGAGAAAGGGACCCGTGGGGATGACAATGTGTTGTGAGAGAAAATAACGATTATGAATAAATTTTAAGTCTCTTTTCCACATAAAAAGAGCCCATTGTTCTCAGTTGCCTCCGATGGACCCAGCGGGAATATCAGTGATCTTTGTTCTTGTTGAACATGGAGAACCATCATGTAAAAGAGCAAACATCTGCTAAATGAAAGCTTCCTTGGCAGTCTAGTGATAGACTGTTGCTCGGGAGGAGGGCAGCCACGGAGAGAGAGCTCTGTAAGGTTTCCTTTAAGCTGTCGGATAAACATCATCTCTGCTTTACCTAATAGAAATATGAAGAGTTTTGCCAACCAAGACAAAGTTCAGAAAGCAAGAAGAGGTAGGAAGGGAGCGATTGTCACACACAAAAGTGCTTTAGAGTCCCCCAGATGACTCGGGACTGAGCTGCGTTTTCCCTGTACTGCTTGCACTAGGACCTCGGGCCCAGCCTCTTAGGAAAGGGTATGGTGGACTCGGCCAGGCCGGGCATCAGCCACTAGCATGATTTCAGTACCAAAGAGTTGATGTGATCTCTTATGACCGTCACCTGTCGCTTTGATCAGTTCAGAAAGCTTTGAGAATCTATGTGGGGTTTTTATCAGTTAGCATGAGTACCTAGGTAGCCTAAGATGAGAAACTATGTGGAGGTCGAAGCTGTCTCGTCTGGGATTTCTCAAGTCATGCCTTCTTGTAACATGCAAAATAAAGACCCAGAGACAGATATTGGGGCTCAAGCTGAGGGTCAGATAAGCAACGCAGCCAGCCACTGGATCTTACCTTTACCAAGCTGAACTGGCAAACCTATCTCCACGAATCCTCAGAAGCAAAAGCTCTGAATTCCTGTCTCCTCCTCATATTCCTTTCTCCATCCAACCATATCCTGTCTCCACTCGCCTAGCTGGGATCAAAGACATGAGCTCTGTTACTCTTCACTCTTGTGTAGGCCTGGGTGGCCTTGAACTTTCTGTTCCCTGAGTCCTGGGATTAAAGGTGTGTGCCACCACTGCCTAGCTTCTACAGCTAACTAGTGTGACTGGCTTTGCTTTCTGATACTTCGGGCAATCTTTATATTAAATCATAAATAATGTATCATCACACCTTCTCGAACTCCATTTTTATGTCATGCTTCCGTGTTTTACAGATGCCAAATACACCCAACAGTCCATACCGAGATGTTTCTCATCAGACATTTCCCCTCACTAGGGAAAAGGCATCTCCTACTGATTCCACTGAACTCAGCTCAGCCAGCTAGGCAGTACTGGCTGATGGGAGTGGCAGGCTAGCCCGTGTAAGGCGCTTTGAGGTCACTTGTGTCATTGGACTGCTAGACCTAGCACTCTCCTAAGCCATCCAGTCTATGGTCAGTTCTCCACATCAGCCTGGCTCATGGTCCATGAATAATACAAGCCAGACAGAGCACTATTTTTGACTTTGGTTGCTTTCCCTTGTTCTTATCTTCCTACTTAAGATGCAATTCATGTCTCTTTGGTTAGCCCACTTCTTACTGCTCATTCCTCACAAGCTAGCCAGGTAAGTAGATTCTAGATAAATACTCTGTATAGGAAATAAGGTAGGCGGGGACCAAGTGCTGTTACCATAATGCTTCCAGGAAATCAGCTGGAGTGGTCTTTTCCAATATTAATCCTAATGCATCTAATTTAATAGAGTGGTTAAATTATCAAGTCCCATCACCAGAGCAGGGGGGATTTTTATAACTTTGTCACTCAGACAAATTACTATTTTATTTCCATAAGATCTGAAGCATACATGTAAGCTGTGATGGAGCAAATGTGACTATATAGAGCTTTCATAGACTAAAAGGAAAATTTGAGCTCCAATTCATTTGTAATCCCAACATTTGGAAGGTGGAGGCAGGAGGATCAGAAGTTCAGGGTTATCTTTGGCTACATAGTGAGTTCTAGATCAGCCTAGGCTACATGACACTACTCCGGTCATATGGATTAATGTGAATATTGGCTTCTGAAAAGTCAGCCCTTGTTGCTTGAATCCAACCTACCCTCGGGGGAATTTTTGCTCTTGATCCTCAAAATTGTTCCACCTATCATATGTATTAATGTTCAGTAATGTCACGTGCACGGCTAATAGTAAATGAGGCAATAATGCTCACGTGAAATAGTCCTGCTGCTGTTATTGATGCTATGGTTGTAGTCTGATCTGAAAAAAAAAAACAACACATCTGACTTTAGCTTTTGTTGGCATAAAACTATCCAGCATAGCCTATCTTAGAAACTGGGGTTTCCCCAGCTGGAAAGTGCTGAAGTAACTTCTGCTGGGCTAGAAGATGAAGAGAAAAACGTAGCCAGGAAGCTCATGATGTTGCCTGGGCACTGATGGCATGCTTTGTCTCTGATGCAAGAGTCTCAGTTGTCTTCAGTCGTTATGAAAATGTGGCTGGTTAATGTTCAGCTTCCAAGGAGGGGAAATCATAGACGGTTCACTGAAAAGACCCTCTCCCTTTGGAAAGCTTCTTAT